CAGGCTTTACCAACCCGCGCGCCGGGTGCCCCTGCTCCCCGCAGCCCCCGCCGACCGTCAAGTTCTCCATCCTTTCACACCCTCCGCCGCTCGCGCATCCTTTGTGCTGGGCTTCCCAGGACCGGTGCTCTTTCTCCCCCTTCGCGGAGGTCTTTCTCCTTCCACCCTCCCTTCTCCACCTTCTTGTGGGACCTTTGCCCTTCCTGAGGTTTCGTCCCCTCCGGCCCCAGTGCCCCGACTGGGAAGTTTTAGTCTCCTCCAGCCTCTGCGGAGCTGCTGTGGGCAGGGGCACGCTCAGCCCCAGGGACCTGCTTCCCTGCTGCCACTCACCCGAACTCTCCCGCGGACTGCCCCACCCTCCATACCCGCTGGCCCTTCGCGGTCCCGGCGTGAGAAAGCCTCTCTGACGCCCCTTAAGTTGCGCGGGGGCCGCAGCGAGGGAGGGGGACAAAGGGAGGCCTTGTCTGGGAGATTCCTGGGAGCCGGGAGCGCACAGGGGCCCGGGCGGGGGAGCAGGGAGTGGCGGGCCCTGCTGCAGTCGCCCCCCACCTCTTCCTAAGACCCACTGGAGCAGAGGCAAGTTCCCAGGGGAAGTGTTCCGACCACAGTGAGCCAGAAATATACCCAGGCCTCTGTCACTGATCGGTCGCAACGTCCTCCGGCTGGGCCATCTATTGAGGTAGTTTTGGAGGTGGGAAGTGGAAACCAGGCTGGCGGGGACCGTCTTTCCCTCCCGACAGGCAGCAGGCACGAGTGCTGCGGAGGTAAACTGCGCTGGGCTTGAGACATGTCTCACACCCAGCGTGACACTGACGCTATCGGGGGTGCTAGCACAGGAGTGGGGCGAGATGGAGCAGAGCGGGTGTCCAGCCCTGGGGTTGCGGGTATGTTAGATCTGTCTACCAGGGAAGCCTTCTGGGCAGCCTACCCTCCCCTGGCAGAGAAGTTCCCCTACGCCCTGCTTTCTGGGCCTGGGATGGCAGGCTGAGAATCCCCGCCCCCTGGAACTCAGGCTTCCAGATCCATCCCTCCATTGGGAGCAGCAGATGGCATAATGGTTAGGTGGCTGGATTCCCATGTAGTTGTCGGCGGTAGGAGTTCCAAACCCAGCAGCTTAAAAGACACACTGGGGGGAACCAGCAGTTAGCATAATGGCTATGTCGCTGGACTCCCACGTAGAAGACCGCGGTTCGGGTCCCAGACCCGGTGGCTTAAAACTCACGCTGGGTGCGTGTGTGTGCTTGCCCAAGATACCGAGAGGAGAATGGAGGAGAGGGGATTGCAGCGTGACCATCTCCCCTGGGGGGTGATTTCTCGCTTTCTGTCTCTATGTCTCTCTCTCTCTGTCTTTCTGGTGAGCGCACGCGCCCTATAGCGAAAACCTCTCAAACAAACAAACAAACAAAACAAAACAAACAAACAAATAAAAACACTGGCATATGTGGTGCATGCCCAAAAATCCCAAGGGGAGAATGGAGAAGGGATTGCAGTGTGGCCATCCCTGGGGGTTATGTGTGTGTGTGTGTGTGTGTGTGTGTGTGTAGGGGTGATTTCATGCTTTTTGTCTCTCTGCTGAGGGTGCAAACCCTATAGCAAAAATCTCTCTCTCAAAAACAAAAAGTGCCCTCTGTGTGCCCAGGACTGCTGATTTTTCATTTCCAAATTTGGCAAATTTCACTTGGACAAGACAGCTGCTCCTGGAGTAGATTCTGACAGGGGAATGGGCTGGGCAGGAGGTGAGAGCCAATCAGGGGTGGACCAAGTTCCCTGAGGACACCAGCTGCTCTCTTGTACTCCCCCTCCTGTTCCCTTCCTGCTTTTTCCCACCTGTTCCCCTTCTCTTTCCTCCTCTCCAGCAGTCGCTCACGGCTCCCCAGCTGCTCTGCTGCCAGGAGACCTGCAGGGGCCTCCATGGCTTCACCCACTTCCACCAACCCAGCTCACGCCCACTTTGAGAGCTTCCTGCAGGCCCAGCAGTGCCAGGATGTGCTGAGCAGCTTCCAGGGGCTATGTGAGGCCCTGGGGCTGGAGCCTGGTGGCGGTCTGCCCCAGTACCACAAGATCAAGGCCCAGCTTAACTACTGGAGTGCCAAGTCGCTGTGGGCCAAGCTGGACAAGCGAGCGAGCCAGCCTGTCTACAAGCAGGGCCAGGCCTGCACCAGCACCAAGGTGATTCACGATGCCTCGGACGGGGCACAGGGTTGGAGGAGGGAGGTGGGATCCCTTGTCCTTACTGCCCTATGTGTTCACAGTGCCTGGTGGTGGGCGCTGGACCTTGTGGGCTGCGTGCTGCTGTGGAGCTGGCACTGCTGGGGGCTCGTGTGGTGCTGGTAGAAAAGCGCTCCAAGTTCTCTCGCCACAACGTGCTCCACCTCTGGCCCTTCACCATCCATGACCTGCGGGCACTGGGTGCCAAGAAGTTCTATGGACGCTTTTGCACCGGCACCCTGGACCATATCAGTGAGCACCACGTGGTGACCTGGAAGGGTGGGCGAGCCTGGACCTCAGGGCAGGCCAGTGGGAGGCTTCTGGGCCAGCCAAGAGACAAGAGTGGACAAGATTCATGTCAGCTAGGCAGCCTTGAAGACTCAGGTCCCTTGCATGTGGACTGTGTGATTTGTAGACGTGCTCTGGTTTTGCCCAGACACACACTGGTGCTTGAGGAGACCATGTGATCCTGGGGCCCCTGCTCCTAATGTCCTCTTCCTTCCAGGCATCCGGCAGCTTCAGCTGCTTCTGCTGAAGGTGGCATTACTGCTGGGGGTGGAAATTCACTGGCGCGTTGCCTTCACTGGCCTCCAGCCCCCTCCCAGAAAGGGTAGGTATATCTACACTCCCAAGAATCCCCATCTGCTAAGGAAGAGCTCTTGGTAGTGATCTTGGTAGCAGCAGTCTCCTTTTCTAGTAGCGTGGCCTTGAGAAAACCACTCTGACCTCAGTCTGAGCATTTGCAAACTGGGAGTAGCATTTCCTTCCTTACCTGCCTTCCATGGCTGCTGTGAAGGTGTAATCCGATAGATGATGTATCATTGTTGTAGAGGACCCACAGTGTCCTTTACACATTTATTTTCACTATTTCCCTGGCTTGTCCTAGGAGTGCAGGGGTTCCCTCTGCCTTCTACACCTTTGCCTCTCATATCTTCTGCCCCAGGAAGTGGCTGGCGTGCCCAGCTCCAGCCCAGCCCCCCTGTCCAGCTGGCCAACTATGAATTCGATGTTCTCATCTCAGCTGCAGGAGGCAAATTCGTGCCCGAAGGTGAGCAATCCCTTCCTTCAAAGAGGCAATCAGCCGGCAGTATGGTGGCTAAGCATGCCACATGGCCTGCTGTGCAGTTCTAGTCCGGAGCTCAGCAAGTTGAAAGACACATAGGTGCATGGATGTGCATGCCCAAAGGCCTGAGAGGAGAATGGAAGAAAAGGGATTGCAGTGTGGCCATCCCCATGGGGGTTGCTCTCTCACTTTCCCTCTCTCTCTCTCAGCCTGGTGAGTGCATGTTGCCCTATAGCTATAAAAACATCATAAAAAAAAGCCAGCATGTTGGGCCCCTCCAGGTGTGTTGACCTTTGTAAGCAGTTGTGCCTCGCATCTTCCTGCCACTATCCACCTACCCCCACCTTTAGGCTTCACAGTGCGAGAAATGCGCGGCAAACTGGCTATTGGCATCACGGCCAACTTGCTCCCGCCCAGCCCCCCTGTCCAGCTGGCCAACTATGAATTCGATGTTCTCATCTCAGCTGCAGGAGGCAAATTCGTGCCCGAAGGTGAGCAATCCCTTCCTTCAAAGAGGCAATCAGCCGGCAGTATGGTGGCTAAGCATGCCACATGGCCTGCTGTGCAGTTCTAGTCCGGAGCTCAGCAAGTTGAAAGACACATAGGTGCATGGATGTGCATGCCCAAAGGCCTGAGAGGAGAATGGAAGAAAAGGGATTGCAGTGTGGCCATCCCCATGGGGGTTGCTCTCTCACTTTCCCTCTCTCTCTCTCAGCCTGGTGAGTGCATGTTGCCCTATAGCTATAAAAACATCATAAAAAAAAGCCAGCATGTTGGGCCCCTCCAGGTGTGTTGACCTTTGTAAGCAGTTGTGCCTCGCATCTTCCTGCCACTATCCACCTACCCCCACCTTTAGGCTTCACAGTGCGAGAAATGCGCGGCAAACTGGCTATTGGCATCACGGCCAACTTTGTGAATGGACGCACCGTGGAGGAGACGCAGGTGCCCGAGATCAGTGGTGTGGCCAAGATCTACAACCAGAGCTTCTTCCAGAGCCTGCTGAAAACCACAGGTTAACGCTCCTCCTTGCTGGCCTATGGGCCTGCTCTTGTCTCTCCCTTGAAGATCTGTCCTCAGTGCAAAGAATTCCCCCATTTTTCCATCTTTTGATCTTGGCAGCAAATAGGCAAGAATCTGTCCCTCAGGGATCCAGAATCAACAGCCTCATTTGGTCACCAAGCAGGAAAAGTCCTGGAAATCTGTCACAGAATGTATGAGAGGTTTGCTTTGTGTTCCATTATGTTGGAATATAAATATGATTAAACTGAAAGTGAAAGTAGCACTTCAATAAGATATAGCTACATTAACTTTGACCTCAAGCTGCCAAGTGACCATGTGGCAGAGGCCTCCCAGCTGCCACTTCACCAGGTTTTCCCTCTTTGCTTCATGCCTCGGACCTCCTGGGTCTGGGACAGATGGTCTTTAGAGCTACTCGGATGTGTAGACTCCCTGTGTGTGGAGCTCTCACTGCTGTCTAAGCTGTGTTCACAGCTCTGAGGTCTGGTCAAGACTACAATGTTTGAAGAGGTGACACAAAGGAAGAGACACATCTCCTGTCCCCTGCCATTCCCCAAGGCATTGATCTGGAAAATATTGTGTACTACAAAGATGACACCCACTACTTCGTGATGACGGCCAAGAAGCAGTGTCTGCTGCGGCTGGGAGTGCTGCGTCAGGTAGAGCCCCGGCCCAGGTCCAGGCAGGGAAAGGTTGGGTGGTGGGCCTGGGGAGGTAGAGCCAGGCCTGAACGTAGCCTGCCCCTGCGTGTGAAGGGATCCCATCCCCTCTTGCCCCTGCCTCAGTGTTAACTCCACCTCTGCCAGCTCTTTTCTCTGGGATTTACTGGACACCTACTCTAGGCTGCGTACCTGTCGTCACGTATTGCACACATGAGCTGCAAGAGGGTAGGGCTTTGGGGAGTTATCTATCTCTTGCTTACTGCTAATTCCCAGTGCCTGAAAGGGTACCTAATATGTAGTAAGCACCCAAGATTTACTGAATGAATGAAGTAGCAAATGCCTACTATGTGCTAGGTACTGTGTTGAGAGTTTAATTTGCATCTTCTCATCTAATTCTCATAAGGCCCTTGACAAGTTAGGTATGCTGTCTCTATGATTGGTGCACTGAGGCTCTGAGAAGTTCAGCAGCAAGCAGTGACAGTAATGACACTGGGCTTTCCAGGCAGAGTAGAGCCTGGAGCCCCCAGCAGCAGGTTGAGTGCTGAGGAAGGGGCAGCTGCAGAGACAGGCCATTGGAATTCCAGCCCCAGCTCAGCTTTCAGCGACTCTGTAGCCTGGGACACCCCTTCCTTCCTCTGGGCCTCGGTGTGTGCTTCTACACCCCAGGGCATGAGTGTAGGCCAATTAGGCCTGCTCTCAGAGGTCTCAGAGGTTCTGACCTGTTGGCTACATAGGACTGGCCGGAGACTGATCGCCTGCTGGACAGTGCCAATGTGGTGCCCGAGGCTCTGCAGCGCTTTGCCAGAGCGGCTGCTGATTTCGCCACCCATGGCAAGCTCGGGAAGCTGGAGTTTGCCCAGGATGCCCGTGGGCAGCCTGACGTCTCTGCCTTTGATTTCACAAGCATGATGCGGGCAGAGAGTTCTGCTCGTGTGCAAGAGAAACATGGCGCTCGCCTCCTGCTGGGACTGGTGGGGGACTGTCTGGTGGAGGTGAGGGGCTCAGGTGGCTTGGTGAGGAGGCTGCCCTTCAGGGAGGAGGGTGTAAAGGTTTGCTTGCTGAGGGGAAGAGCCAAGGGTTGCTTGGTGCAGATGAGAGGCTTCCTGGTGTGATGAGCCCCCCACCCCCAGCTTTAACCTTGATGGGTATCTAGACTTGGGATATTCTGTTGGATTCCCATCAAGCTGTTTCCCATCCCTCTGACCTGCAGCCCTTCTGGCCGCTGGGCACTGGAGTGGCCCGGGGCTTCTTGGCAGCCTTTGATGCAGCCTGGATGGTGAAGCGGTGGGCAGAAGGCGCTGGGCCCCTGGAAGTGTTGGCTGAGCGGTAAGACCTGAGTTTAGGGGGCAGGATATGGGACAAGGGCCAGGAAGAGGGGCAGGAGTGCTGGGTGAAGAGTTGGAGGCTGGATGCTGACCAATGTCTTCCCATTTGTACTCCTGCCCCCGTCCCTCATCTCCTCAGCGAGAGCCTATACCAGCTCCTGTCACAGACATCCCCAGAAAACATGCACCGAAATGTGGCCCAGTATGCCCTGGACCCAGCCACCCGCTACCCCAACCTGAACCTCCGGGCTGTAACTCCCAATCAGGTCAGACTCCCTGGTACCCCCGCCAGGCTTTCCAAGTTGGCCTCTTCCCCCAGGTCAGGTCTTCTGTGCCTAGTCATTGTCCCTTAGATTCAGTCCTACCCCAGGGGGGCCCGTCCCCAGGGACTGAGTGGCTGTGTGGTCAGCCTGCCTGGAGACCTAAGCCAGCCCATCATAGGTCCGAGACCTGTATGATGTGGTGGCCAAGGAGCCTGTGCGGAGGAAGATTGATGAGACGGACTCGGGGAAGCCAGCCACTGGTAAGTATCCCTTTGGGGATTGTCCAGATATTTACCAAGCAGTGAGGTACAGACAACAACCATCCGAGCAACTGCAGCCTTGGCCCAGGAACAGTGTGCTGAACATTTACTGTTGGATGGTGGGGCAGTTTGGGGGCCTTGTGGAGTGGAGGGTTAGCGGAACAACTGAAATGCCATGCTTCTAGAACACCTTGGATTTATGAACTCTGAATGAATGACTGTAGAGAACATGGCGAAGCCTAACCTCTTGCCTTCTAGCTGGAAAACAACAGGAGGCCCATTAGCTTGAAGGCATGCTTAGGGAAAATAGTGTTTCTGTTGTTCCCTAACAGAGCACTGAGCAACAGTTTGACAGTCTGTTTAAAGTATTTCCATATTTTTTAAAAAAATAATTTATTTATTTAATTCCATGTTGTTATTATTAGAGAGACTTTTGCTGCGGGGCTCATGTGCTCACCAGAGAGACAGACAGAAAGTGAGAAATCACCCCCCCACCCCCGGGGATGGCCACACTGCAATCCCTTCTCCTCCATTCTCCTCTTGTGATCTTGGGCACGCACACACCTGATCCCCCCATGAGTTTTAAGCCTCCAGGTCTGGGACTCGAACCATGGTCAACTATATGGGAATCCAGCAATGTAACCATTATACCATCTGCTGGTCCCAAGTGTTTCCATATTTTAACAACTGATAAGGCAGTAGCTGTGCTACCACAGCTGTTCTCAGCTGTACTCAAATGTTCTGTCAACACCTTCCAGCCTGGAAAACCCCAAACCTGCCTTTCCTTTGAGCATCTGAGTTTCCTTGGCCCCCATAGTTCACAGTCTGCTGCCTTCCAGGTAGCTAGTAGTGAGTGCCCCTTTTCATTCCCCTACTTTACTAAAAGGATCTTTTCAAAAGGAGAGAACTGGGACGAAAGAGGTCATGTTTACAGCGTTAGGCTGGTACCCCAGTGGGACAGGTCCCTACTCTGCCTCCTGTACATCCCAGCAACTAGGCTGTCTAGAATGGGGCACAGGGCCTTGGGCACAGCAAACCCTTCCCTCCCTGGGTTGTCAGGTGCCCAGGAGGAGCTACTACGCTGGTGCCAGGAACAGACGACTGGGTACCCAGGAGTCCATGTCACCGACCTATCTTCGTCCTGGGCTGACGGGCTAGCTCTGTGTGCCCTGGTACCCCGGCTGCAGCCCAGCCTGCTGTGAGTCTGGGCTCTGCACGGGTGCCTAGCAGACTGAACCCCTTTCCTGCCCCTCGCTTGACTTCATGGTAGGGAGATCACTACATAGGAGTTACTTGCCCAGTAGCACCTAACTCCACCACTTCTGCCCAAGTCACTGGCCTCTCTAGAGGCAGTATTCCTGCCTGACCTCTCTAGCCTGCTGAGAGTCTTATGAAGACCCTAAGTTTTTAGCTAGTGGGGAGCTTGGTGAGGGGCTGAGGGCCCTAAGGCCAGAAGTGGTTGTCAGTGGGTTGGAAGGTGGGGGCAGGGAGCAGCAGCAAGAGTCAACTAACTAACCTACACCTTCCCCTTTGTGGTCCCCCAGCCCCTGCCTGGCTGGCCCTGGCTCCTCTCCCCTTAGCAGGGCCAGGTTCTTGACGTCCACTGGCATCTCTTCCCAACACCCTACAGGGAACCCTCTGAGCTGCAGGGGGTGGGGGCTCTGGAGGCCACAGCTCGGGCGCTGAAGATGGCAGAGCATGAGCTGGGCATCACGCCGGTGTTGTCTGCACAGGCTGTGGTGGCAGGAAGTGACCCACTGGGCCTCATCGCCTACCTCAGCCATTTCCACAGTGCCTTCAAGAGTGCATCACATAGCCCAGGTGACCTGGACAGAGAAAGGAGGGTGGAACAGGAGCGTGTGTGTGTGTGTGTGTGTGTGTGTGTGTGTGTGTGTATGTGAGAGAGAGAGAAAAGAGTAGAGGATGTGCCCTCTGAGAATCAGGCTGGGAGAAGTGACCTTCTGGGCTGGAGAGCGGCAGTCTGTTTGACACCTTCCCCTTTGTGGTCCCCCAGCCCCTGCCTGGCTGGCCCTGGCTCCTCTCCCCTTAGCAGGGCCAGGTTCTTGACGTCCACTGGCATCTCTTCCCAACACCCTACAGGGAACCCTCTGAGCTGCAGGGGGTGGGGGCTCTGGAGGCCACAGCTCGGGCGCTGAAGATGGCAGAGCATGAGCTGGGCATCACGCCGGTGTTGTCTGCACAGGCTGTGGTGGCAGGAAGTGACCCACTGGGCCTCATCGCCTACCTCAGCCATTTCCACAGTGCCTTCAAGAGTGCATCACATAGCCCAGGTGACCTGGACAGAGAAAGGAGGGTGGAACAGGAGCGTGTGTGTGTGTGTGTGTGTGTGTGTGTGTGTGTATGTGAGAGAGAGAGAAAAGAGTAGAGGATGTGCCCTCTGAGAATCAGGCTGGGAGAAGTGACCTTCTGGGCTGGAGAGCGGCAGTCTGTTTGAGGGATACAGTATTGACCCTCCTGTCTACACTGTCTACACTGACACCCTGATTGTCCTTGCAGACCCTGCCAGCCAAACCTCCCCAGGGACCTCCAGTGCCATACTATTCCTTGGCAAACTCCAGAGGACTCTGCAACGGACCCGTTCCAAGGTGGAGAGTCTGGGCTGGATTGGGACTGCTTAGGGGGTTGCCCAATGGAGGGAGACATTCCAAGTGGTGGGGGAGAATGAGGGCTCAGAGCCTCTTGCTTGGGCTTGTTGCAGGAAAATAGAGAAGATACCGGTGGCAAGAGGGCTCGCTTGGAGGTAAATGTAGCAGGGGCCGAACGGCCCCTTTCCCCATATTCCTTGGGGACCATGATCCCTGTTTTGTTCCCCTGTATTTGCTCCCAACTCCAATCCTCTAACACCCTACCCTGTATCCCTGCCTAGTAACACTCCCCCTTCCTCCAGCCCTTTCTGTTCACCGTCATCCTGCCCCTCCACCCTCCTGGCCCTAGCACAAACCTTCTACCACTTATTTAGGCAGAGACTGAGACCCCAAGTACTGAGGAGCAACCTGTCCCAGAGTTTGGTGTACCCCAGGTAACCCCATCTCAACCCCAGGAGGTGAGAGCCAGGACCCTGTCTACAGGTAGAGGCTTGGGGAGGGCAAAACTTGGCAGCTGGCCTTGGCCCCACTGACCTTCATCCTGGTGGTCCACACAGGCCGATTCAGGGGACCTGTGTGCACTCTGTGGGGGGCACCTCTACGTCCTGGAACGTCTCTGTGCAGATGGCCATTTTTTCCACCGGAGCTGCTTCCGCTGTCATATCTGTGAGGCCACGCTATGGCCAGCTGGCTATGGACGGCACCCAGGAGACGGTAAGTGGGCCTGGGAGACCTCCAGAGAGACTTCGGCCCTTGCCCTGCCTGGGTGCAAGGAGCTTAAACGTGGAGGGGAACAGAGGTGCCAGGTGGAGAAACACTCAAGATAGTATTTTCTTCTTTGTCCCTGCCAAACCAGTGCGGGCTGTAGACAGCCGAAACAGTCCCAGCTGGGGGGGTTCCACGGACTCAGGCTAGCAGAAATCCACCAGCAAATCCAGGGTCCTGTTGCCTGCCCCCACACTTCCCTGATGGAAAGCCCTGAGTGTGTGCCCACCCCAATGCTGCCTCCTCTCCACCCTTCCCAGGACATTACTACTGCCTCCAGCACCTGCCCCAGCCAGGCCACAAAGAGGATGGCAGTGACAAAGGTCCCGAGACTCCGGTAACAACTGTGGAAGTATGTGTCAGGGTAGGGGAAGAAGAAGGTCTCCCCAGCCCAGCAGACTTTGCTGGAGTAGCTAACAGCCATCCTCCCATAGAGGGAATGCTGCATGAAGGCAGGGCTGCTTGTCCTGTCTGACTTACTGCTGTGTCACAAGCACTTACAATGCTCTTTGACGCTTGTCGGTAAATGGTGTTGAATGAAAATGCCAGGGCCCACATTTGCTCCAAAAAGTGACCTCAGCCCCACATTGGGCAGGTCACTGACCAGATGACATGTGACTTTTCCAGGAGCTTCCCCTACCAGGTGAGAATTGCATGCCACCAAATCCCTCGACTCCCACAGCCCCACAGGAGGGAGCCAGTCCCGTTCCAGTTCCTAGCCAGCCCACCCGTCGGCTGATCCGCCTCTCCAGTCCAGAACGCCAGCGGCTGTCCTCCCTTAACCTATCCCCTGACCCGGAAATGGAGCCTCCACCCAAGCCCCCTCGCAGCTGCTCCGCCTTGGCCCGCCATGCCCTAGAAGGCAGCTTTATGGGTTGGGGCATACCAAGCCAGAGACCTCAAGGTAACTGCTCTTTGCACAGATGTGCTGACCCAGGCTGGGGATGAGGCTGGAGTAGTGGGATTCCTGCAAAGTGTAATCTGATCAATAGGGAGGTTATAGGGATCCCAGGCCATGTCTGCCTCTCCTCTGCTCAGATCTTGTAGTCATAGAGAAAGAGGAAGAGGGTCTCTCCTCCAGTGAAGAGGAAGAAGAGGAAGAGGATGTAGCTTTGGACTCAGACATGGAGCAGGTGAGTGGGAGGAAGTGGGCTACCTATCTTGCCACACCAGCATGCATCCACTGAACACTCCACCCACCACCAGAAAGATGTACACACACTAGGCTCCCTTCTGGACAAGGTGGCGTGCGCCCCAATGCATAGTTACCAGAGGCTGGAGGATTGTGGCATCGAGACCCACTTCCTCTATGAGCTCTTTCCTTGGATTGTCTTCTCACCCAGACTCTTTCATGCCTCTAAACCTCCATCTCTTCTGCCAGAACTTCCCCTACTTCCAGGCCAGGTTCTTTGCTGCCCTTTCTAACAGCCTCTCCTACTCCTGTCCACCAGAGGGCCAAGCTCTGCTCCTGACCAACCTGATCTTCCCACAGGCCCTGCTGATCTTGGCCAAGAACTCGCCTACCACGAACAAGTACCCAACATGGCACCGGACTCTGCTGCGCCGTGCTAAGGAAGAGGAGATGAAGAGGTTCTGCAAAGCCCAGGTGAGCGCAGGGTTCCCAAACGTTCCGATGGGGTCAAAGTTCCAAGTCTGCAATCAGTGCCCTGTTTCTGAACAATCCTGACTCCTGGGTCTCCTGTCTTGTACCCCTCAGTCCATCCAACGGCGACTAAATGAGATCGAGGCTGCTCTGAGGGAGCTGGAGGCTGAGGGCGTGAAGCTGGAGCTGGCCATGAGGAGACAGAGCAGTGAGTGAAGATGAGGAAGGCCATGCTAGGATACCCCTATGCCTCTAAGCACTGTTTGGTGCCCCACTGTCCCTCAGACCACTAGGCTCAGGGCCATAGCAGGGCCACACAGCTCTGAAATTCATACCCATTGGTGCCCTCCTGCCCCCACATCCTGTCCCTGCTAAACCCATGACTCCTGTGATCCTGACTACCCTTTACCCCCTTCCTTCTTATCAGGTTCCCCAGAGCAGCAAAAGAAACTGTGGTTAGAACAGCTGCTGCAGCTCGTTCAGAAGAAAAACAGCCTGGTGGCTGAGGAGGCTGAGCTCATGATCACGTAAGTGGGGGAGGTGGTGACAGTGGCACGCGAGCCAGGCTGCTGCCTTTGGGGCACCCTGGACAGCTGTGTCTCTTCAATCCCTGGCCTCCAGAGTGCAGGAGCTGAACCTGGAGGAGAAACAGGGGCAGCTGGACCGGGAGCTACGAGGCTACATAAACCGGGAAGGTAGGAAGGATGTGGGGCATGCAGATACATCACAGGGCTGGGGTTGCACAAACCTCATGCTCAAATTCTGGCCACGCAACATGGACCTGTCTCTTGTGCCTCTAACTCCGGGGAAAGCCAGAGGATGGGGCTCCAAAGCCCACACCTTTTCTTCAGACCAATCAGAGCTTTGGCAGCTGGCCTTTAATATTAGGATTTCCTTCAAAAATGGCTATGCTGCTGAAAAGTGCTAGAAAACCACTGGTGTTGACCAACGTCCTAATTCGGCAGATTAGGAAACAAAGCCCCAGTATAGACACCACTTCGGCCAGAGTTAGGCAGCGCTTCTCCTGTTGCCCTGGCCATTTCTCTGTCCCTGAGCTTTGTCTTCTCCCGTCAGAAACCCTGAAGACAGCTGCGGATCGGCAGGCTGAGGCCCAGGTCCTGCAGAAGCTGGTGGACGTGGTGAACCAGCGAGATGCCCTCATCCGTTTCCAGGAGGAACGCAGGCTTAGTGAGCTGGCCTTGGGGACAGGGGCTCAGGGCTAGAAGGGGCAGTGGAGGGCTGCCTGCTGTTTTCGCTATAAAGAAAGACAATCTTACCCCAGGACAGTGCCACCTCTGAGCATCTGGGCTGCCTGGGAGAAGGCTTCACTGTTTATATAATAAAAGTGTTTCTACCATAAAGAGGGCTTAGGCTGCCTGCAGGTGGGAGATGGTGCGCAGGGAGGGCAGATGTGTGGGTCCTAAGGTCTCCACATGACCGTTACACTGACACTTGTCTTCCACTACTATCTCTACAAGGAAAAAGGCAAAGCCGTGAAAGTGTCAAGCTTTATTGTTCCTCAGCTCTGTCCCTTTCCTGCTGTCCCAGGTGCAGGGCTGGTGGGGACTCAGGGCCCAGGTTCTGGGCCTCCCTTGCCTTTCTCAGCATGTGCTGGAGCTCAGCCCGGGCCTTATTAAAGCATTTAGTCTCCTGCAAATGGAAGAGGTAGATTGCACCCGCCACCAGCACCAGTCCTACACTGGGCGTCCAGAGCAGTATGGCAGCTTCCTTGGCTCCTTCTCCAGCTGCCAGGACACACAGCAACAGCAGGAAGAGCAGCCCCAGGCTGATCACATAGCCAGTGAAGGTGGTCCACCAGCATGCTTGAACCAGGCCCAGACCCAGCTCTGTCCAGGCCTCCCTTAGGACGCTGACCAATGGTGACCTCTCTGCTGGTCCTAGAAAGAGGCAGGGCAACAGGTTAGTAGAGGGTCAGAGTGGAGGGGCTGCCTTGAGGTGGGAAGGGGGAAGAAAGGGGGGGTGACTCACCGTGGGTAAGACTGGGGTTTGGCTGTGGGGGGCTGTGCCTCACATACAGAGTAGCCATCAGGGCCTCATGATCAGAGAGGGGGGTGCCACCACTAGGGTCATGGCCTGTAGTGGTTTTGAGAGTCTTACAGGAGATGTAGAATCCAGAAACTGCCTAGGGAAAGTTAAGGACCAGAGGAAATTTACGTGAGGGCCTCTTCCCAGAATATTGGCTCCCACCTAGCCTATTCTCGAGCCATCGGTGGTCTAAGACTAGCTGAACCGGGTACCAGCACAGGCTGGTGACAAAGTGATCGGGTGAGTGAACGTCACGAGGAGGAGCCTGACCTTGTAAAGCACGTAGTCGATGCGGATGCCAACAGGAAAAGGCCCCAGGTCCTGCTGGCTGACGTAGCAGTTCTTGGGGACCATCGTATAGCCTTCTTCGGAGCCCTAGGGGAATAAAAGGCTGGTGCTAGGACCTGGGGGGGAGAGGGGAGACAAGCTAGCAGTGTCAGTGGGGATCCTCACCTCAAAGTCCTGGGTCTCTAGGAAGGCGTCGCGCAGCCCTGTCCACTCCTTCAGCAGGCGGCAGCCCAGGTCTTTTGGGTGCATGTTAAGGTCTCCACACAACAGAATCACGTCGGCCTTCTTAGATGTGTGGCTGGGGAAATCAGGTGGGTGAGGCACAAATTCCCTTGCCAGCTCTGTCCTGTAAGTGGGACTTTGGCCACTTCTCAGCCCCTGGACCCCATCCCACTTCCCCTATCAAGCCCAGGCTCACACACTGGATGAACTGGGCCAGTTCCCAAGCTTGAGCCACACGATGTGCTAGGTAGATGTCCTTCTGTCGGCTGTACTCGGCATGGAGCTGAGCAAAAGGTGAGATTACAGAGACAAGGCTGAAAATCGCAGGAGCAGGTCTCCAAGCTTGTGCTTGTCACTTAGCGTGCTGTTCTATATATTAGGTGACTTCCCCTATGACCCAGTAGAAGAGTGAACCTTGCCCATTGCCTCCTCACGAGATCCTGCCCTATTCTGCTGCCTGGCAGCACAGCTAGAGGAGCCCTATCTTTCCATCTCAGGTCTGCACTGCCTGCCCCTGCCCCAGCCCCCAGCCCCAAGCCCCAAGCCCCATTGGTTTCACCCACATGGGTCACGTAGGTATTGAGCACCAGTCCGCTTAGATGGAGCACCAGCAGCCCTACAGCCTTCCCACAGAACCAGTCGCCATGATGGATCTGCAGGCAGAGGGGGGCAAAAACTCAGGGCATTGCTCCTCTCTTTCTACCCATCCCCTGTACCCCTAGGCAGGCTATCTTCTCCACCTTATGGAGGGTGGAGAAGAAAGGTGGAAGAGGTCAGAGGTCAGGCTTACCATGTAGGGGTAGCCATTGAGGGTGTAGACATGCTGGGTGAGTTCCTGGATTGGGTGTTTGGAGAAGACACAGAGGCCACTGCCAATGACTCCGCTGAAAGCCAAGCCCTGCTTAATAACCGGAAGAGCAGAGAGAGAAACACCTGGCCCTCTTCCCCTCTGTCTCCCAGTTCTCATCATCTACTCCTTTTTGTAAAAACTGCTGAGGCCAGTGCAGAACAAAGTTCAAAGCAACACCCGCCTAGGAGGAAGATAGGGTGGCCTGATAAGCTTGGGATGGGTCAGACAGATAAGATCTTGATTTACTGGCTTCTCCCACACCCAAAGGGGAAGGAAGCTGGGGGAGAGGGAGGAGGGTGCAGAGGGAAGGGCAGCAGAACCAAGAGTCTCATGGTCTGAGAACACTGGGCTGTAGGAGTCTCACCTCCTAAAGTAGTGTGCAGCTGGGTAAGTGGGCGACAGCTTCTGTCTCAGGTACTGGAAATCCTGCTCACTCCACACCTGGGGAGTGGGGGTGGGGGGGAGGATATGCTTGCTTGGGTTTTCCTTCGGGGAGCGCACAGGGGGTCTCACTGCGCCCAGCTGCCATCCTCCCAGGCTAGGTTCGGTACCAGTGCTGCACAAGCCCACCTCCTCCAGCAGAGCCAAGTCAAAACTCTCCATGTTCAGGAAGTCTCCCAGGCGCTTCAGGCGGTCTGCCAAGTGCTTGCTCAGGTAGGGGATGCCCCTAAGGAAGGGAAGGGCCGAGTCAGGATAGGTAACTCTTGGCTCCAGCGAAACTGGGCTTTGGAGGTTCTGGTTCCCCTGCAACCCAAAGTCGTGGAGTAGGAAAGGGTCGAAGTCGGCTGTGGGGATGCGAAAGGGCCAGTGAGCCCAGACCGCACTCCAGGGGTGCACTCACCAGCAGTTGAGGTTAAACACCCTCAGCCGCAGAGAGAAGTTGGGCTTCATGCCGGGGACGCTCCGGGAGCGTGGGACAGCTCGATCTCCGCAGGGACTGCTCCGAGGCGGGACCGGGACAGGCCGGTGGCGCTTCCTTCCCGGGCAGTGACTTCTGGAGCGGAGTACCCAGGTGATCGGCTCCGCTCCCGAGCTCCCCAGAAGGCCACGGCCCCCGAGTCCGCGCGGCTGGGGCCTGGGCTGGCTCCCACGTTACCCGGCAACCGGCCCGCTGACCGCGATCTGCCAGACCGCCAACCGGAAAGGAGACCTGTCGCGAAATCCCGGCACGGGCGAGTCTGCGAAGGCTGCGCGCGAGAACCCTGGCGGTCCCAGAGGCGCCCGGGTGGGAGACTGCTGCTTCCCCTCCTCGGAAGCCGGTCCCTGGCCGCGGCGCCCCTAGCCGGTCCACGCCGGAATCCCGAGCAACAGGCGCGAAGTTGAGGAAAGGCCCGGCCGACGCCGCGCCGCCTAGCCCCGCCCTCGGGCCCGCCTCCCTCGGGGGGCGGGGCCGCGCGGTTGCCGTGGCGACGCTCACTGTTGGTGCGCGGTAGTTCCGCAGCGCCGCGATGGCGGGCCCGCCGGCCCGC